ATTCTCTTTAATTTCTCTAAGTATAATCTTTATTTTTGGACTTAAACAAGGGATAAATTTTAAGAATCTCATTGAATTTAGAAACGACTCGCGATGAAGAAACAAAAATTTATAATATTTTCAACAGAAATTCCTTGAGCTGAGACTTTATAAACTTCAATCACTAAAATACGTATCGAAATTTTCGTTGTTAAAACGTAATGAAATCAAAGCTCAAGGGTATTTATTGCTTATAACTTAGTTTCTTATATTTTTATTATCGACTAGCGGCCAGCTCCGGCTCCGCTCGGATCTTTAACAAAAAACTCTTCGATATGGTGGTAGGACCTCCTGTGAGTCCGCATGGGTGGGTATCACCGCCCTGCCTATTTCTGCCGTGAAGCAGTAATGCGTTTCGGTTTGAAGGGTGGGCCAGCCGTTGTAACTATACTGAGATCTTACAACTTCTATCTCAAGGTGGGTGGCGCGTTTGCGTTGTAAATGTCTATAGGCTCCAGTAACCACTTAACACCAGGTGGGCTGTGAGCTCGTCCACCCATCTAAGCTATAATAAAAAAAAAATGACGCACGTACTCAATGTGCTATGTTAATAAACAAAATCACTGTTGAGTTCAGAACTTACGAGTGACAAATTCATACGACGAGGTAGAAAATCGGTATGGGTATAGGTATGTGCCTTACAACAGAGTGGAATTAAAAAATATGCTCATTATTCATAACACGATTCAAACTTTGACCTCTGAACCCGTGTTCACATTCGCAGCGGTATAAGGTCACGTTGACTCATACTAACTAAACATTCATTCATACGATTAATAATTGTAAATAGACATGCTTTAACAAAAACCGACTTCAAATAGAAAAAAAAAAGATATTCCAAAACAAATGAAGATACACTAAAAACAATAATCATCGAAATCGGTTGGCGTGATATTGAGTTATTCATCTATTTGTCGCGCACGTACTTAATGCAAATTTAAGACTTACATGGTTTTCTCATCGATACCATTATCAGAAATGGACTAAAATGGGACCACACGGGAAGCGTCAGCTTTCTAATAAAAAAAGAATCATCAAAATCTATTCACCCAGGCAAAAGTTATGAGGTAGCAAACATAAAAAAAACATACAGTCGAATTGAGAACCTCCTCCTTTTTTGAAGTCGGTTAAAAAACAGTTTGACTTTTGAAACTAAAAAGCATCTCGGTGTTATACTGCTTACCGCCCAAAAGTAGCTGCCATTTTAAAACATGAGGGTCATTTCAACCTCGTAACGCACTGACCGCTTTTTTGGGCTTTTATGACCCCCTTGCTGACCGAAAGTATTAAAAATAATTATTATCCCATAGCTAGAGCATGAATGGTTTCGATTTCACGTGAGCGTTCACCTCTGTTAGGCAATGGCCGGAACAATAAGGGTGAGATGAAGAAGCACAACTTAAATGCAATCATGACAATTTAATGGTAGACAGCGGCTTGGCTCTGCCCCTGACATTGCTGACGTCCATGAGCAACCAGTGGTGGTCAACAACCGATGGTGACTAGCTACCATCAGGTGGATCGTATGCTCGTCTGCCTACAAAGGCAATAAAAAAACATAATGTCTTCAAGACGGACAGAGGTATTCATGTCATGGATATTCAAAGAAACACAAATCGTTCATTCCGATGATTGATAGTACGGAGAAGAAATTAATAACTAATGACAGCGATCCACTAACGGTGCTTTTAGGTACTCCAAGCACCGGTCATCGTTCTCGTCGAACCCGTCACTTACGACAAAGGGCTCGACGAGTAAATTAACTGCGCCCACCCCACTGAGTTTCTCGCCGGATCTTCTCAGTGGGTCGCGTTTCTGATCCGGTGTTAGATTATGCGAAGCACTGCTCTTGCTAGTGTTAGCAACGTCGTCAGGTTTGAGCCCCGTGAGCTCACTTACTAGTTCGGTGAATCCAGAATAACCCCTCGAGGTTACTAGAATAAGTAGGAAAAGCTAGAAACGCAACGGTCTCAAGAAGTTTCCACAAAAAAAAATCCCCTGTAAAAAGCCCTTGTCCAATTTAAAAAAAAAACCCATTCGAAAATGATCATAGAACGCGACCTATTTACTGCAGCGAGGTTGGCCGAGACACCAACATGTCCGTTATAAAATAAGACCGTGAGTTATTGCTGATTATTTTCGTTGATCTCGCGAAGAGAGAATGTACAAATTATTATATTTACGTTCTTACGTACGCCGAGAAACATGAATGACGTACTAAAAGAATGTCGTTACATTGATTTCGGGTTCTTGATGATGTAATTCCATGATCTTCAAGCCAACTTTGTGTTTTCGTTTTAATAATTTGTTATTTTGTTTTTCATGTAGTAAGTTTTACGTAAAAAAAAACATTTAGGTTATTGGACTCTTTTAAAATGTAGCACATATCAATTGTTTCGTAGCGCAATGTTTCAGTTGGTACGTGAAAGATCAAAGAAATTGGGTTTTTTTTTTTTTTTCTAATAATAAATTTAGCGTTTGGTACAATTTTTAAAGTTAATAATTATTAAGGAAATATGTTAATAGCTTTTTCTTGTAATATAGAACTAAGGTCTAACTGAACATTGAAATCTGATCATCTGAAATCTGATTAGACACATTGAGCGAAGTTTATGTAATTCGGCCATTGGACATTTTTTAAGAAGTACCTATGTGTTTTTATTGTTTGCCTTGCTTGTTTGTTAGTTCGTTTAAACTACCACGTATTTATATGCGAACATGCTTTAGCACGATTGACGTGAACGAAATACTACATGCTCATATTATAATTTTAAAATGAACAAGAACCATTGAAAAGATACGAATACGTAAATAGTATGTTATGATTTCGTATTGAAATTTTCATTGCGTATAAAACGTATCTTTGTCCTTAACAGTTACAAGACATTGCGCTTAGATGAGGACTGGTTTCGCAACGCTACATCATCAGAGAACAAAGCCGTCGCCAGGAGCGGAGGCCGAGGCTGCGTGCACACAAACTTACATAACGACTAACTATACAACTCCCCTAATCCACTACACTGGATGCACAGCACAGCACTACGTACGGATGTAAGGTACGAAGAGGCCACGGCACTCCGCTGAGTTCCTGACCGATGAAGAGAGCCACCCACAAATACCTGGTGTAGATGGACGAGCCCGTCCTGGCGGGTTTGCCGGCGGCGTCACCCTTGCAACAGTTGCTGCCCATGGCGGGAGCTCATCCCGGATCGCTACGAGTACGCGATGGTCGGCCGCAGACTGGCTCCACTCGCGGGATATTTTCGTATTCGCGACTCAAGCGCCGCCCGTTTGTTTACTGATCATTTTAAACGGCTTTGTCTTCTATTGTGTGACATATACCTAACTGTTTCGTCTGTATGACTTTTGGTAGATTCTGTCAAAATTGCTCACGAGAAGGGCACGAATTAAATAAAGTAATGTTACTGTAGTTACTGTAGTTAGTACTGTAGTAAGTAATGTTAATGCGTAAATTTTCAGACAGATCGATCTGAATAAAACACCATAAGTTTACATTATAATTTACCAGATCGGAAATTAATTCCCATATAAGATTGAGGAAATAAGTTAGTTAATAATTACTAAAAAAATATATTATTTTTCCCGCCATTAAGCATGAAAGAAGTGCAAATTACCACAGGAACACAATGTTGGATTTATCAACTAGATGGCAGTAAAATTTAGCCATCAAGAATCTCGACGTGGCACAACTAAATATCGCTAGATGGCGCTATTATCAAAACATGAAAACAGTCTTGATAACCTCATATTTATTTTTGGTAGACAAAAAGTAAACCTTGTCGGACACAATTCGAAATTAGATGTTTCATATTACACAGTAACTTTGGCAAGAACATTTTTAAATTAGCTCACAGTACCCGAGACTGACACAATAAAATTTGGTGTCTGTGGTGTATTTATTGATAATTCATTATTCGTAAATTGAACCATGCAATAACATCACAAATAGATTTGAAAATTATATTCGTCCCTTATTCAATTTTAATTACTTATTTTATTTGACGAGGAAAACGAGGGATAGAATCGAAGGGTGACTATTATTATGGTATATTAACACGCATTTATAATTAATATAATCAAGGTTACAAAAATGGGGTCGGAAACTAAATCGAGCAGATCAATCTACGAGACGAATGGCGAACAATCAATAGGTACGTATCTATGCGTGTGTTATTGCTATCTTTACTCGTTGAGTGTTTGGATCTGAACCAAAAACACATCAGGACACGGGTGGACTTCAGGAACTGCGTACCAATAATGAACGTCGATTCTCTCGATGTTATTATGAAAATAATTCAGAATAACTATAAAAAATTCTACAGCACATCAACCTAGTTAAGGTTTATTGAACTGATTCAGATTTTACACGTGTCAGTGATTGGAGAATCAGATAGGTTATATTTTAATGAAATTAATCCTATAGGAAATTGATAGTGGAACAATGAAGAAGAATTTTTTTTACAAAATTTTAGTCAGCTCGCTTATACGATAAATTATGAAAATGAATAAATGGCATATTAAAAAATAATCAGATAATAGTATTTAAAGTTGATGTGTTCATATTCACGTCTATTTATTCTGGAATGCAAACAAGAATGTCGCATCACTGAACATTTGCTACATCCGCAAAAGCGATGAGTAGTTCCGAAAAAAATTTACGCAGCATGCGCACGTTAGTCAGAAATTTTGCCATTACGAAATACCAACGATATTATATCATTTGAAGCAACCACAAGACAAGTGTCCCCGACGCGTCCGCTGTTTCCTGATGCTGTATTTATACATCGACATGTGAAAAACAAACAAAGTTTACCGGCGCCGCGCTGCAACCAATTTTGCTCCCTATTCAATGCAACGCAAGGATGTTTCTCTATTAAAACGACAATTTCGGGAATCAAAATTCGTGGTGCTGATCTAACCTAAACAGAGATAGTACTCACCAGCTGTAGTGTAAGGGCGGAGTGCCCGCCGGCGTGGGCAGAGTGAGGGTAGCGACGCTACCGGGAGCCGCTCTGACGGTCTGGAGGCCGCCGGCGGGGAACGACGGGGGCTCCATAGGGCTCCAGTGTTGTCGGGCCGCGCGCGGCTCGGCGTGTGCGAGCAGAGAAACCCGCCCGCCGTCTTTCTAAAAATAATACGGAAAAATGTAGCGCGCAACTCTGTGGATTTTGTGCGATGCGAATATTTTGCCAATTTCAAGACACGAACTTTCTCTGCCCTGCTGCTAATCAGCTGATCGGCTGCCACTCGCGGCGACAACCAGAAAGGAAATGAGGAATATTTCGAGAAGTCAACCAAAAATCGTGTCCTTTACTTTGACATGATTTAAATAGGTTTATGTAGGCCATAAAGTCTTTGGCTTGGTTTTATTAAATAAAGTAATGCAGCATAATTTTTATTCTTAATTCGTTTTTCTTTCTCGCATACTTTGTCACAATAAAAGAACGCTCATGAATCAAGATAATCGGTCATAATTTACTCATAATAATTATGTTACGTTGATGTACAAACAGTTTATTTACCTAACCATCTAACCAACTTACTGATTACTAGTAATATTCACATAAGTTTAAGTTGTTTGCTAATTACCTATTTATATTTATAATAACAGTTCTTTGTCAAAATTGTGTTTGTGAGATTATGAAGTTACGGTTTTATCATCTTGGTTTTTTAATTATAACAATACTTTCACACGTTAAAAGACAGATAGGCTAATTAATTCAAAACTGAAATCTACGAAAAAGTAATTTCCTTAAGCATTTCAGTAATTTTTCACAAACAGCGCCATCTGTTGATGATCTATGATGTTAAGTTGTCTAGTTGGATTTCTTTCTTATCAGGACACCGATTTATTTATTCAACTTCATTAACGACTCCTTCGTAAGCGCCTCTGGAACTTTGTCACCTTACATGAAATTCTAGTTGACGGGTAGTTTGGATTCCGCGGCAAACATTCGTGTGTCCATCAAGTGCACCGCCTCACAAAACACATCTTAATAGGGCTCAACAAACGCAGAGCCGTCCCCACGGAGCCCTCTTCGTTCGGAACGTAGATCTTCATGACGCCCTAAAATTAGAATCGATTCGTAAATATTTCAAGGCAGTGTCAGAGCGGTACTTTGAAAGAACGACTCGACATTACCCTGTTATCGTGGCCACCGGTAACTACTTAAATTTACATGCACCCGATCCTGAGGACCAAATAGTAGACAGTCGCCGTCACCCAAAACACGTCACTTCGGAGCCTGCCGATCTATTGTCGGTTCTTTTCACAGTACTCGTCGAACCTGTCTAAACTGTTATTTCTAATGAGAATTATAAAGTACCACATTACGAAGATTCAAACGCCTTAGTTCAAAAATCGAATGTTCTTGAGACTAATTGCAAACTAATTTTGGTCAAACTTAAAGTTCATTCGAAGCTTAAATTTTAATGCTATTTTTTAATATCTAAGCGCATTCAGAGGTAAAGGTCACCTAACCTCTTACCTAACCTTTTTTTAAGTATGTATGTTATCCTTATTCTGTTCCCCGTCAATTAAATAAAAATAAAAATGAATTAGACGCGTGATCGCTTCGTGGCAGAGAGAAGATTTTGTTTTTAACTAGCCAAAGCTACTCTTTTATATATGTACATAAAATTTGTGTACACGACTCAGATGTGTATTTAGAAATACAAGTATATAGCCTCAGGATTTTGGCCTTGGCATAGCCACACTGTTCTCAACGGATATACCGAGCGTAACTACTTTCCTGTCTTAGCATGAATTGCCTGAATTTCTCGCCGGATCTTCTCAGTGGATCGTGATTCCGATCGGGGAGTAGATTCTGCGAAGCTCACCCACCCGTCCGGGCGTAGCTGGAATAGGAATAGCCCCTGGACTCCCAGCAAATAGGTAGGGAAAAAGTCTTTTAAATTAACTATCATACATCATAAAAACTATATTTATAGTTTATTAAGCGCTTATCATTCTAATTTTACACAACAGTTTTTGTGGCCACAGACGGCTAAGGTGTTGGTCGGTCGACATTTGATTATTGTGTACCACTGTTTTATTTCATAAAAAATATATTTTAGTTACAATATACTGTAAAGTATCAGAAAGTTCGGAAACAGCAAAATGAAACCGTAGAAATGGTTTTAGTTGTGTCCACGATCCCCGATCTAAATATTGTACTAGAGCCTACATCATTCATAAATCCCTAAATTGTCATTTGGAACGTTTAAAATGCGGCTCGATTCATTCTGATTATCCAATCACGCGGCCAAATCAAAACACAAAAATCATTATGTAGCTATCACAGTTTATTATTGGAAATTATGTAGCTCCAGTTGCAATTAACTAGGTTCCATATAAAGCCCTCCCCAAGTCCCACGTCTCTTCACCCTGCGGAAACTTCATTTATTACATTAGACCGCACTACACAGAGATGCATTACCTAATGGCAAATTGAAGTACTGGCTAGTTTGAACACATTGGATGTGAAAGTTTGCTCCCTCGAACTCCAGTTGATTGCACATTGAGAGACCGAAAACTATTTTTATTATGTAAGTATGTATATGCGGACGAATTCGCCGTGCACATGGCCTTGTGCAGTCTACTGTGGACATCCCATCTCTTTCCGTGGATGTCGTATAGAATGGGCATTAATGTTTTCCGGGATTCTGGCGGGAAATTGCGTGAGATGTATCTACAGGTTAGGTTCTGCACGTGGAAATCTTTCGACGACTTCGACGAGAACGGTAACCGGCGCTGGTGGAAAGCCTAAAAGCACTGAGATTTAATAAGGAGGACCCGAAATGACGTGTTTAGGGCGACGGCGACTGTATGTTATCCGATCGTAAGATTCCGGTATCTAATTTGAGGCGGCCATGATAAGAGTGTTATCATGTCGAGTTCAAAATCCAACAACATTAAGCCACAAACCGCTCTCATACAAACAGAACAATCTAACGAAATAATAAGAAAAAAGGAAATAAAATAAACACGTTACCCAGAGCCGAAGAATTTATAAAAAGGTCAACCTAAGGATCTTTATGAAACTTTCAACTGAAACCTTGTAACAGAAATAGAATGAAACTTCAGAATCAAACGTGACATTTGCCAACAACGTGCTGCCAATTTATAAGGATTCTACCGAAGCCTGAATTTCACTTACGACATTTTCAAGATAAGCTTGTATAAATACAAGTTCCGAACAACAACATTCGGACCGTCGGTCTTACGAGCAATATCACGCGCTCCGTAAAAGACCTTCGTCGTTAAACCTCCCAAACTTCAAACGCATTCAAAACACAACACACAAACAAAACGTAAACAAAAAATTTTTATCAATAAATCAATATTGGATTTAAGCCGTAAGATTGTAATAATCCCAAATTCTTGAGTCCCATAATTCTTATTATCCGTGTCCCAAGCCTGCTCGGGTGGATCCAGTCGCTACTCTGACTATATGTGTACCGAAATCAATAAATCAATATTATACCAATAATCAATAAATCAATAATATTAACCTATATAAATAAATCAATATTGGATTTAAGCTGTAAGATTGTAATAATCCCAAATTCTTGAGTCCCATAATTCTTATTGTCCGTGTCCCAAGCCTGCTCGGGTGGATCCAGTCGCTACTCTACCTATATGTGTACCGAAATCAATAAATCAATATTATACCAATAATCAATAAATCAATAATATTAACCTATATAAATTAATCAATATTGGATTTAAGCCGTAAGATTGTAATAATCCCAAATTCTTGAGTCCCATAATTCTTATTGTCCGTGTCCCAAGCCTGCTCGGGTGGATCCAGTCGCTATTCTGCCTATATGTGTACCTAAATCAATAAATCAATATTATACCAATAATCAATAAATCAATAATATTAACCTATATAAATAAATCAATATTGGATTTAAGCTGTAAGATTGTAATAATCCCAAATTCTTTAGTCCCATAATTCTTACTGTCCGTGTACCAAGCCTGCTCGGGTGGACCCAGCCGCTATTCTGCCTATATATACCTACAGATGCAATGGAAACTTCAATTTTGCCACACCCACAGACACAACCCACTGAGTTTCTCGCCGGATCTTCTTAGTTGGTCGCGTTTCTGATCCAGTGGTAGATTCAGCGAAGCATTGCTCTTCCTAGGGTCAGTGTTAGCAACTGCATCAGGTTTGAGCCCCGTGAGTTCACCTACTCACCCGGAGAATCTAGTATAACCCCTCGAGGCTACTAGAATAGGTAGGGAAAAAATATCATCTTAATATCGCTCAACGTGAATTGGATCACGATAGTCATATGACTGTCATGATTTTGTTATTTATTTTTCTCACATTCAAAGTTCGTAGTATAGGCTTTCAAAAAATTTTGCTTACTTATTATAATCCATATTACTTGATTGATTTTTTTTAATTGCTCCGGAGCCCATGGGCATCTTCAACGTAAATGTCGCCATCCATCTCGAGACATGAGTTCTAAGGTCTTAGTTTTCAGAGTATAACGTGCCCCACCCTTAAAACCGAAACGCATTACTGCTTCACGGCAGAAATAGGCAGGGCGGTGGTACCTATCGGTGCGGACTCACACACATCCCACCACTAGTAGGATGGATACACGAAAAAGTTAGGAATCGACTAAGTAGTGTTTCGTTAAAAATTATGAAGCATGAGGATGCAGTAGCTTTCCCTATAGTCCATCTGTGCTCAATCACACCTACGGCTGTACAAACGACATTTGTACTATTAGAATGTTGTGTGCGCTAGATGGGAGAACAGCTTTACTGTCCACCTAGTATCAGCTTACTTTTAAAACCGATTATATAGAGCCTTAGTTGGCGACCCGATTTCAAAAACTGCACAACATTAATACAGTCTTGAGGTAAAAAAATCAAGCTGTGATTCTTAATGGCGTTGGGACATGTCATCATACTCTTTAAATCGACGTATGTTTCCCAACTGTTGTAGGCAGGTTGCCGATTTCCACCAATAAGATCAGAAAGACGCCAAGCTAAAGTTAAAACGACAAGCTATTCTACTAGTAATAGACACGTTCACAAAATGTACTCACCGTTTCTCTCCATGGCACTATGACGTCAATAGTCCAGAA